AACCTTCGCTCCTTACAGCTCACATTAAATTAGTAATATACATTAAATGATTATCTTAGATGGCATTATTTAAACATAACCTCACAGGACATTTGCCTCGAGCAAACTGCAAGAGAAAAGCTGAGCAATTATGCACCTCACATATGCATGAGCGTACAACAAGTTTGCACATGTAAGTGTGCTTGGGCAGCTTCACAGGCTTCAGCATTTTCAGAGCATATGGACACAGGGCAGCAACCCAAACCCATTAAGAATGCACTAAGCCAGCACTTTTAAACTGAAACAGTCATTTTTCAACAGACTAAAGTTCAATTTATCAGTGGCTACAATGCATACATGTAATCAGAAGAAAAATACCTGGTGGTACTCTCACCATAGGCACAGCACAGCAATTTGATGCCAACTACAGTGACCATAAGGCATGCAGACTGCCCTGAAACCATCCTAGATTTTTTGTTTCCTTATAACTGACTCCACACATTTGAGCCTGTCAGAACAGTTGTACACTGCACTATATTGATACAAGAGCAGAATAACAACAAAGAGAATATTTCAGCAATGCATTCAAGCTGTTCCGAGAGGCAAAAACGCTGCTCAACCCAGTAAGACATCAAGACCACAGCACACAGTCATTAGAACTAAATACTGAGCAATTTCAATAGAAGCATGCATGCTTCAGCATTCATATTATTCTTGGGATCTCCTAATCTTGACTCTGTATAACTGTATGTTCCATTTGGAATTGGTAATAAATGGATTTATCCTTATGGCTTTGCAAATGTTTCCTGCAACACTGGATACCTAATGAAATTATTCTGTCATTCTAAACATCACATTTGGAAGATTTGACTGCTGAAAAGGAAAACACAACTCAAGTGCAACAATTGCAAACATGAGAAGGAAGAAACACATCATGCCAAACCAAAACACACACAACCTACAAACAACAGCCTTCATCTTATGGTATGAAATCATTTCTAAGCATCTCAGAAAGACCATTTTCGGATGGTTAGCAAAGTAGCAGCTTGTTGACTCTCAGAGAAAAGAGCAGATTCTGATACTGTGGGTGTTCAAATCCAGCCACTTAATACCAATAGAACACAACTCCAGTTTATTGCTTCCCGTTGGTTATTCTTGAATAAATAGGCTTTTAACATTCCACATATTGCAAGCAAACTCTGTATTAGCAAGAACTAAACCAAAAGCCCCAGGGACAGAGGGCTTCTGCCTGGCCCCTCGCTTGCAGCAAACTGGCTGCCATTCAAAACCACATCACCCCCCTCTCATCTTCACTTCGCAGGACGTTTTAACCCTGACCTAGAAGAAAACAAATGTTTTTAGACAGCAAACCCACAAATCTCCACTGATGATTTTAATTCCAAACTTGTTGCCCTTGCTGTGACAGGTCACTGTAACAGCATGGGGATTAGGACACCTATTAAGCAGTTGGGTGACGTTTTCAGATTTGTTTCCTGCAGTCCTGCAAACAGCTGCTGCACATCACAAATCTTTGTCCACTTGTAAATTGAGTTAGGTGATCAGCAGCAGCCAGCAGATCGGTTTTACACATGTCATGGTTACAAGTAATGAGATTAATAAATGAGAGAGAGATTTCTACAAATAAGACATTTCCTCGCCTTCTCTGGTTTGGAACAAATCTTCCTGTTTCCTTTTGGAGCCCAAAAACCTTACCCCACTGCTAACTGCTTTTGGGGGGTTCGACCTCAGTCCTCCTCTAATGTCTTTTTTTTCTTACACTGTATTTATTTGACACTAACTTCACATGCCCAAACCACATCCCTGCTCCAGAAGAAATTTATTTACTCTAAAAACATAATAATAATTTAAAAAAGCCCTTTACAAATCCTAATTAAAAATGAGTATCTTACTACTTAGATATTCACTTGCTGCAGCCTCAAACTTTGCTGCTCTGCTGTCTTTGCTGTGCATTTCATTGCATTGCACAGAGCTTTCTGGGAAAATGGAATCATACCCAGCATTAGTTATTTGGTTTTTAATTTAGTCACATATGTGTGGCATGCTCTTCTACTTCATAGTGAGGGTGTATTCTTACAGGATAAATGCTTGGGAACTAAGCTGTGTGGCCTGAGATGCTTTAAGACTAAGTAGAGCTTTAAGAAGCTTTTTAGTTGTTTGTTTCCCTATTGAAGATGCACTTACTGACAGCGAGTGCTAAGGCTTGTTGAAGTGAGACTTTTGACTAATATTAAATGACTAATGGTGCTTTTATGATCAATTATTGAAGCCTGCATGGGAGAGGAGAGACTTCCAAACAACTGGTTTGTAAGTAAATGTTTAAGCACTGATGTGGTGCAAAGTAACCTCTCCAACAGCAGACTTGGAGGGTTTTATTTTCTGCCCTAGTATTCCTTCTTGTTTGCTCTGAGCTCTCCCATAAAGAGGCTGACTTATTTTCATGTCTTGCTTTGTCAGAGGATGTTTTGCCAAAGGCTGAACCTAGCAGAGCTTTGCTCAGCAGTCTCACCATGTTCTGTTGATTGTCCTTGTAGATGGCACCTGTCTTTCTACTGCCTGCATCAAAAAGCTGCTTGCTAACTTCATCTGAATGGAGTAACTTTCTACCCAGAATTTTGGAGGGCAGACAAAAAGAATAGATATAAGAGGGCTGGCTTTCAATTGCCATGAACTAAGCTCCAAGAGGAAAACATAAAAAAGAAAGGTGATAATAGAGCTGCATTGTTTGCTTTTTCTTTGCCTGAATGTGCAAGAAAGATGTATGTTTAGGTTTAGAAAGGAGCTGTCTACAAGCTTTCTGCTAGCTAAGGTGTAGGAATGAGCTAAGAAGGGCTGAGCAGGTTCTTGGGATGTATGGGTTTAGGAGTGCATTTTTCTTATGGGACTTAAAGCAATGTGGAGGAGGCCGATGTTGATGTGGAAAGAACAGAAGAACAGGAGAAGTTGATGTGCGGCCCATGAGGGTTTCTACAGGTGTCAGCTATTTTAATCCAAACCTTAATTTTTCTTAGCATTTATGACAGCAACAGTTCATCTACTCTGCTCTTCCCCTGCTGAGAAATGTATGATATACCTTTTCCATGCTGTGCTGATGTTGTATGAGAGGAGGAGAAATAATTTATGAGCCTGCTGGAAGAATTAGCGCCTTCTGGGGATTAAAAAAAAAAAAAGTGTATTGTTGATAAGACCTACATAAGCCCCAAATATTCAGCAGAGGTCTTGAGAGAGGATGTGCTCTGTGAGTGGCATGTTTGTCCTAGCATACGCCTTCCCCAGCCCTCACTGAATGACACTGGAGGAACATCCCCTTGCCATTACAGGTATAAACGCCAGAGGGAGAATCCCCACTGAACCCCAAAGTAAACTTCCTCTCGAGGAGCTTACTAGAAGGATTGCAGCATGGGAGCAGGCTGAGGAATGGCTTGCTTGAGATGATGGAGGAGACTCTACATGCGTGGTCTCTTCTGATTCTCAGGCTCCTTCCCTGTTCTGCAGTCACCTCCCAGCTATTCCAGCTCTGTGTTTCTGTGGAGGATGGGCAGCTGGCACTGGGTGACACCACATCTCTCTCTTTGTTTCTGATGCATTTATTCTATGAAAGCAAAGCAGCATGCTGGGTATTTACAGCATTGCTTGGGACATCTTCTGTCAGACTTGTAATGCAGTGAGACAGGCACAGTGCTGCTTCTCTTCTGGAGGGAGTGGGAAAGGATTCAATGCACTTTTTTTCCATTGATTTATGTCCTACACTGAAAATTGATGATATTCCCTCAGATCCACTCAACCATTTGAAAGCAAGCAGCCTCTTTGATCAAGTGTGTGGGGAGAAGTTAGGAGGGTACCCAGCTCCCAGCTCTGGTATGTGATGCTCTGTAGGAACTGTTCCATTCACCTGTGCTGTCAGGCTGTATTAGCCAAACACTGTCCATCAATTCTCACTGTTACAGAGAATAGATGTTGTGGAGAGGAGTCATGGTTTTATTTCTATCTGTGAAGCAAGGAGGGGTAAAGGAAACTGCTTAAAACATGATATAGAAAGAAAATTTCCATCCATGTTACTTCTTTCAAACAGATCTACCTGTATCTCAGGTCCTACTTTGTCTGGGGTAGCAGTGTGTCCCATCTTCCAGTAAATGCTTGCAAAGCTCATACATTAATAAGGAGTTAAGGTAATTAAGTCCTATAGAGCTTCTTATAGCCCCAGTGTCTGTATAGCTGTGGTAAGAGATTGGCACAGAGCAGCTATCTGAACACTCAATCAGCTTCTTGGTTGCTTTCACAGCTCCTGTGGGCTTCCAAGTGGCCAACATAACCCTTCTGTTCCTATCTGTGTGGGGAAGATGCAAGGTCTTGGTTTATCTGCACTGGAGATGTGCCCTGGGGTACACAGGTAAAGGTGTGAGCATGCCCTGTGCGTGTGAAGTACAACGGATCAGAGCAGGCGTGTGTGTAAAACAACACCATTCCCATGGCCTTGCTGGAAGCAGTGAGATTTAAAAGCATTTTAGTGAAGCATTAAAAAGTTCAGTTCTGTTTGTTTCAGCTCAAAGGTGGACAGGACTGTCTGTGAGCTCTGCTCCCTGTTAGATTGGATTCCTCTTATGGAAACTGTTTTGTCTTCACAGCAGAAAACCTGGTAAAGCTGAGCTAGTATTTCTTAGACATGCATGGTTTGATCAAATCTTGGGGTTTTTCTTCGTAGAGACTCAGATTTACTCAAAAAGGAAAAACAAAACAAAACAACTAGATAAGAAGCAAGCCTTTAGTAAGTCCAAAAGCTTCAATTCTGGAGCTTATCCCACTACATACACATTGCATATATTGAATGTGTTCATGTGAATGTGTCTGTAGCTGCGAAGAGCATTTGTGCTTTTCCTGAGAGCCGCTAAGGGATGAATCTGGTTCTTCTTCCACGCTGGATTTCGCTGCCTCCAAACTTAACCTCTCCAACGCTCGTAAAATCCTTGCATCTCCTCCCGAGGTAAATCTCTGTATGTTACTGCTAGAAGTTAGCTCTACCTCACCCACATGACTGGTCCTCACTATTAATCCCAGCTGATGGCAGGGAGGGGCTCTTCTGGGAGGCAGCCATGTGGTGAACATTGAGCACAGTGTTTTCCCCCCCGCTTCTCTCCTTTCCTTTTCAGACGTGCAAAATCACTCCGTGCTGCTGTCGATGTGAACTCCTTGCTGCTCTGTTCCTTCTCTTCCAGAAACTCCAGGCCCTGAATTAGCAGCTACAGATCTGCGAGCTCTCGCTGTATCTGGACAGAATATGGAAAAGGAGATGAATATCAGAAGGGAAGAAAGAGTGAAGTTGGTTATTTCTCTGGCACATGGATGCAATTACTCTCGGCGCATTCCAGAGGCGTTCTTTTGAATCCTGTGCAGGTCTGCCTGCCGTTCCTGGGAGAGAGAAGGCAGAAGGGAGGAAAAGTCCCTTTCTCACACGGAGACGGAATGTCTGCACTTTCCATCCTCTTTTTAGGTAGGTTGGCTTTTTGGTGTTTAATCGAACTTCCATTTGCCCCTCTCTATGCGACTGAAATGCGTTTCTGATGAGCTGTTCAGATCTGCGAAGGAAAAAACTTTTATGGCAAACTCCGTTTTCTGTGTTTGGGTTCAGTGCTTTTTGTGCTGCTTTAGTTATTAGCAGGTTGATGGCCGGGAACCTTTTAATATCCAAATTTGTTATGTTTGTTTTTTTGTTTAGGAGTAATGGCCATACAGACCCCTCTCGGAATGCGTTTTTAGTTTAAAAAGGGCAGCGTTTTTGAGCAGCGTACCATGAAGGGGTTTGAAGCTCTTTGATAAAATAAGGTGAACAAAATGCCTTTGTTCCAGGCACAGTGTCAGATTTGTAGAACTGTTTTGCTTTGCTCAAATATTTAACATTCAGGTTTTTAGAATAAAAAAGGGTTATTGTTTCCAATTGATGCCTCTGATTAAAAACAGATGTGTTGAAGTGCGAGAGGGAGGAGTTAAGGGGGGAAAGAATGGTGGAAGGAGGGGGAACAAAAGGGAGACAGCAAGAAAAAGGGAGGGAAAAAGGCTGCTGAAATAAAGGGGAGGAAAAGGTATAAGTTAATGGTTGAATAGGAGCAGAGAACGGGAGAGGAGACTAAAGAAAGAGAATGGAAGCAGAAGGGCTGAACAGGGCTGTTTGTCTTTACAGCCTATGGGGAAAGGGTTTGCAGTCCTGAGGGCTGTTGGGGAGCTTGCGTATGGGACTGACTCAGAAGCAGTCTGGGTATCTGCATCTCCAGAGGCACTGGGATGTGATGAGTGAGCTTCTGTCTTCATTCTGCTCACCACACAGTGCTGACAAGCAGACAGCTCTGAAATCTGTTGTGGCTGAGCAAATCTGTGATTCCTGGGTCCTCCTCCCCCCCAGAACCCCAGGTACTGGTGTGAATGGGGCACAGGTCTTTGATTCCCATGGAAGAGCCAAGTTCCACAGGGTGATGGGCTGATGTGTGGGTGGACACATAATAAAGGCTTCAGACAGGATGATAGGAGGAAATGCAATGGGGAACAGCCTTCATTCAGTCTCACAGATGTGAAACATGGACCAGCCAGAGTTTTGAATATGCAGAAGGCAGGTGGGTTCTCATAGAGGCCACGTGTTGAAGGCTTGGAGCAGGAGGGATAATCTGCTGCCACAGGATGAGTGTTGTAGTGATAGAGCAACTCTCTTTTGTATGACTGCTGCTGGTTTTATCCGGGGACACACAATGGCCTTTAACCATTCTTCCTTCTTTGGGATCTCTGTAATGCTTACAAGGCAGAAGCCCAGCAGAGAAGACAAGCCAAGCCTTGAAGAGCTTTTGCATCTAATCAAACATCTGAGTTCCTCAGTTTCTCTAGTTGTTGTTCCAGCTGTGGCAAGGGAAGGATGAGCAGCTTTCCAAAGCTCACAGCCAAACCAGGAATGCCTCATTTCCTGGTGCTTTGTTAGTGTTGAACTGCCCTGTGATTTACCCTTGTTGTATTTGTGTTGTCAATGGGCAACTTGGTCATCCAGCTTTCGATCCAGCTTCATTTACTGATATTGGAAGCATATTTTAGGGAACATGAAGTATTGCTGTCTGTGTTCCTGGTTTGTGCCTGAGAGAAAGCAAGGAGATAGGTGTCTCCTTTGCTAGCCTGAGAAGGTAGTGAAAAGATGTACAAGTATCATTGAGCGTGTGCTTTTGGTCACTGTTGAAGTGAAGAATTGTGGAGAACAGGAGTTTGAAGCCAAGGAAGCCTCAAAGGAAAGTTGCTGGCTCAGAACATTCATATTGATAGTATATATATGGTCCTTGCCTTTGGTACTATTTACCTACAGGGTAAGTAGGCAGCTGTGTGAGGAGACAAGAAAAGGAGACAAATAGTTGGAAGGAGGCTTTAAAAACATGACAAGAATGAAGACTTTACTAAATGTGGGCTGGGCAAGACTGTAATCATAGTTCTGTAACAAGGGCAAGGTGGAGGGAGCAGAGAGGAGCCAGGAATCTCCTTTGCCTTTTCCCACCACTCTGTCCAAGTCAATTTTGAGTATTTTTAACAAACCTTCTGCTAAAGATGTATTTGATTATAAGAAAATAAATATAGTTGTGTGATATCTGTACACCTACTTTTGACTCTGGTATTAGATGTATCATTTATTGGCTAGTGTATGTGCTCTGCCTTTCAGAAAGCAAGGGGTTCAAGATCCAAAGGAGGAGATGTGCCAAACCAATGCAGGCATTCAGCTTTCACGTGTCCTGCTACTGAGATGGGACCTTTGCATTAGAACATCAGGGGTTGCTCTCCACAGTGCCCTAATCGCTCCCTCTTGTCCATAGGAGTTCTCCTGCAGGAAAGAACGGCCAAGAGTCTTTTGTATCTTAGCTTCAGCCTCAGTATCTGCAAAGGGGCTGTCTTCATGGTTTCTCTAAAGCTGACTAGCCATTAGGATGTAAGGAAGCCAACCCTCTGTGATATAGCACAGATAGATGCCTTGGGAACCAAGGCTTTGCTCCCTCTCTATGTGGCATCTTTGGGAAAAGATGAGTAGGATTTAGTGACTGATGGTACAGGGAATTGTATGTACCACACTGAGGCTGATGGATGGGGTGCAGCTGGTAGCTCTGTGCACTTAGTCTGGCTTATGATATGGTGTGCTCAATGGGTAGGAACTGGTGTATTACACAGGAGTGATTCTGCTGAAGTGGATGCAGCTGTAATGGCAGAACTGCCTTCTGTGCAGGTGTAGCTGAGCTCTGTTCTCCCAGCTTTAAGGTCAGTGACTCTCTTACAGGGCTGTCCCAGAGGTGCACAGTTGCTGCACTGAACACCAAGACTTGATCGTCTCATTGTGCTGGGAAAGGTTATGGTGCAAATCCCTGTAGTGCTGTTGGCATGAGCAATTGGGTCTGACAGCTTGCATTTGCCTAGGTATCCACCAGACTTCTAGCCTGAAAATCCTTGCTGAAATGGGAGCAGCTCTGCAGCATTTGGCAGTGGCAGGTCAGCCTGGGGCTGTGCTTTTCTACTTTGACTCTCAGACTTCTGCGACTTGCTTCCCCTCCTGCTTTAAGAGCGCAGGCATCCTGAATGGTGCCCTGTCATGCTTCCTTAAAGCCTTTCTCCTGAAAACTGCAATATGTTCCAGAAAAGCCAAGAACCACTGCAATGTTTAAACAAACAAACAAACAAAAAACCCAGCACTCCTGCTTCCAGCGGGGTTACTGAACTTTTTAATAGACTGCTTCTGCCTGAACTAGTAAAAAGCAAGGGAGATGTTTTAAGCAAATGGAATATTAAACTGATGGGTCTTATTTCTGCTGCTGCTCTGGGTACTTCCCAAATTTCTGAGGTTATGGATATAGGATACACTTGCAACCTCCTGGTTTTCTCATGGCTCTTTCTGTTGGCTTTATCTGTTTGTTTCACGTGGGGTATTCAGGTAGGGCGAGGATTTTGTCCCATGTTTTAACAGCACTTAATTCCAAGCTTGGGATTGGAATAGGAAAACATAAATCTGCGGCTGTCAATAAGGCTTCTGTACAGGATTCTGCCATTGGATTTCATCTTTTCTTTCATTGGGTTATGAAGGAATGCAGGCGATCACTCTTGGTGCATCAAGCCTAAGAGGAGGCTGTTCTTCCAAAGTCGACTTCATAACAGCTGGTAATTGCAAGAGCTCATTTTTTTTCAGCAGTCAACAAAACAGCAACTGGATGCAAGAGCTGCTGGGAGGTGTGAATTTAGCTCTAGGACAAGGCCAAGAGCTCCTTTCTTTAACAAACCCTAGGGAAAGGGAGCAAAGAGAAGATGTGTGTCCATTTGCTGCCCCAGGGGGAATTCAAGGAGGCAAGACAGAATTGAGTGAGCTGCTATTTGATGGGATATCAGAGTTAACACTTCTTCTCGTGGGATGCAAATTCTTTTAAAGCCAGGGTGGGTTTGCATCACATTTCCTACCAGAGCACTCAATAAGAATGTCCCCTCTGTCCCCAGCAGTGCTGTGTTTTACATGAAAGTGTTTGGATTTCTAGCATTTAGAAAACCTTAGCTTTACTTTGAGGCCTGGTTTTATTCCTATTTTTCTGTTTTACCATAAAAAGAAAAAGGGTAAACCTCTGGAGTGGGGGAAAGCAGCATGCCAAGTTAGGGTTGAAATACTGAAGTCTGATCTCTTAATCATGAGAAATAGTTTTGCTGAGGGGAGGCAAGCTTTCTGAATTTCCCATGTGAAACAATTGGTGTTTGGCCACTGTGCCCACAGCAGGCCCTGTTTAAACAGAATTAGTGGTCTGTTTCTGTGGGGCACTTGGGGCCACTTCAGAGGGACGTTTTGTGTAACGGCAGAGCAGGCTTCCCAGCAATGCCTGTCATTGCACAACCGGCTTGGAGAGAGACCCTGATGTTTATCCTCTGGATCACAACAGATGCCCCTGTCTTCCTCAAGGCAAACACAGGACTTTATAGGGAACTTAACAGGTTTGCAGCCTGAGATTTGATTGAGTTCTTAGGAACTGCCTGAAAAGAAATGTAAACAGTCGCCTCCAACAAAGCACAGTATGTATTTGCAAAACCCTGCTTTGTGTGGAAACAGATTGTTATGTGATGCAGAATGTGTGTGTTTAGTAGCAATGAAGAGAGGTGTTACAAACTGCTTTCTGTGCCTCTTCCCTGCAGAAATTGCTCCCAAAGCTTTAGTCCAAGGATGGTTCTGGTTTCCAGCTAAAGCACTCCCCTCTCTTAGCCAAGGCTTGTGTATGTTGCACAGTGCAGACCTGAGTTCTATACGTGTGCAAAGAAAACTTGGCTCTTGGGGATGTAATGTTGTGCATATTCCTTGCACCAATGTGTTACAAAACAGAGGCTGCTTTGGGTGCAGTGGGAACTTGGCCGTGCCTTGTCTGAAAGATGAATGGGTCTCCTTTTTTCCTCAAGCTGTTTCTTCATCTGTTTTTAGAAATGGTTATTTTACAGAAGCAGCCCAGCAAAAAGCCAAGG